ATCGACGTTACTTACTAAATTAGGGGAGTTACAAAAGAGAAGATCAAGGGTATGCTTAAGTCTTGTGGGTTCTAAAACGTACTGTATCAACCCAAAAGTGTCAACAATGTTCTTCATTTCTAGGTTATTACGGCTGGCATGCAGCACCTCGCATGAATGACTTCGCCATTTTAGATCGGGTAAATTAAAATCACCTGCTAATAATATCGTACGGTCAGACGCCTGTGAAACGATGTCACCTAATAATTGCAAAATACTGGAGTTCGCGGCGGGCGGTCGATAAAACGTCCCAGCTACAAAAGAAAAATTGTTACTGACTGTAACAGTACTCCAGACAGATTCGACAGCGTCATTACCGATATCAAGATTAGCGGATGAAAGGGACGAGTGAACTAACAAGAAAACACCACCCCCATGATTCGGCCTATCTTTACGGTAGGCAGTATAATTGTTAGGAAACACTTCATGATCAGAGATCATGAAGTGTTTCCATCGGTCACATCAGCGTGCCGTCGAAATTTCATGCTTTCGTTTGCCGTCGTCGTTTCTCGCAATGGTCACGCTGCCATTTATGTGTGCAATCCCTCGGACAGCCCATCATTCCTACTACGGGGAGAATGTCTGGGAAGCTACGAACCTTACGAGTGCATTCTTCCGGCTACAATACCCGATTCTACGGTCTCGCTCCCAATTTGTGCTGTCGCTCCTACCAACGCGCCTAATGATGTTCTGGACGTCTTATCAGATGCCATCGACTCTGAGCTCACACCAACTCAGCGCCAAGAGATTATAAGTCTTCTTCTCCGTGTTCGCTCTTCATTCGATCGTGGCTAGTCAGGCTTAGGCCGAACCTCTGCAGTTGTTCACCGTATTGACACCGGTCAACAAGCCCCGCTAAGACAGCATCCGTACCGGGTGTCATCTGCTGAACGCCGTGTCATCGACAAACAAGTGGACGACATGTTGAAACGTTGCATCATCGAGCCCTCCAACAGTCCCTGGGCTTCACCGGTTGTTTTCATCAAGAAAAAAGACGAATCCATCTGGTTCTGCGTTGACTACCGCCGACTCAACAAGATAACGTGCAAAGACGTATACCCTCTGCCGCGCATCAATGATGCTTTGGACTGCCTACAAGGAGCAGAGTTCTTTTCTTCCATTTAGATTTACGCTCCGGCTACTGGCAGGTGCCTATGGCAAAGGTTGACCACCCGAAGACAGCCTTTGTATCACTGGACGGACTATATAAATTGACGGTTATGCCCTTTGGCCTCTGCAATGCACCTGCCACTTTCGAAAGGTTGATGGATACCATCCTGCGAGATTTGAAGTGGAAAACGTGCCTCTGTTATTTAGACGACATTGTAGTATTTTCAAGTCACTTTGCGACTCACCTCAGCCACCTCGAGCAAGTTCTTACGTGCCTTTCCACGGCGGGACTTCAACTTAACTTGAAAAAATGCCACTTCGGGGCTCGCAAGCTTGTAATCCTCGGCCATGTGGTTTCTATGGACGGCATTCTCCCGGACCCTGCAAAACCTAATGCAGTCGCGGCGTTCCCAAAACCAACCACCACCAAAGAGCTCCGAAGCTTCATCGGCTTATGTTTGTACTTTCGGCGCCACGTCCGCAATTTCGCCTCCATTGTCGCTCCCTTGACCAATTTTCTTGCCGGAAGTTCTGATTTATCAGCATAGTCGCAGGCATGTGATGATGCATTTCAGGAACTTCGACGGCTCCTTACTACACCTCCCATACTCAGACATTTCGATCCGTCTGCTCCTGCGGAGCTTCATGCAGACGCTAGTGGTGTCGGGCTAGAGGCCATACTGGCCCAACGCAAGGATGGTTTTGACGAGTACGTCGTTGCTTATGCCAGCTGCACCCTCAGTAAAGCTGAGAAGAATTACAGTGTAACTGAAAAGTAGTGCCGCAGCATTATTTGGGAAATCGGAAAATTTCGGCCTTATTTATATGGACGGCCATTTGATTTGACAGACCACCATGTGCTTTTCTGGTTATCTTCACTAAAAGATCCTAATGGTCGGCATGCCCGTTGGGCATTGCGGTTACAGGAGTTCGATATCCGTGTTATCTACCTTTCTGGCCGGAAGCATTCAGACTCCGATGCCCTGTCACGTTCGCCATTGGCTTCAGAGCCTGTCAGCTCACCTATCTCCACCAGGGCTGCCTTGGCCATGAGCATTTTAGACATGCCTTCTGAGCAACGCAGAGACGCTTGGATTTCTTCCCTTTTGGACTTTTCAAACTAGATGCCCGCTCCAGTTTCTAGGATGCTTCTCCGTTAAGCACAACACTTCGCTATTCAGGATAACCTGCTTTACCACCAATACTACAGCTCGATCGGCTGTAAGTGGTTGCTCGTCATTCTCCGACATCTGCGCCACGTTCCACGATGATCCGCAATGTGGCCACGCTGGTGTGTTAAAAACATACACTCGCTTGCAGCTGCGGTACTACTGGCGCGGTATGTACTGTTTCGTTCGCCGTTATGTGAGGTCTTGCCTTATTTGCCAACGACGCAAAATGCCCGCTCAACATCCCACAGGTTCCTTGCTGCCATTGCCATCTCCAACACGAGCTTATCGTGTCGGAATCGACCTTTACGGTCCACTTCCCTATACTTCGAGTAGCAACTGCTGGGTCATTGTCGCTATCGACCACCTAACGCGGTACGCTGAAACAGCTGCGTTACCTTCTGCTACCGCAAAAGACGTTGCATGTTTTATACTGCAAAACCTGGTTTTAAGGCATGGAGCAACTCGGAAGTTATTAAGCGATTGCGGCCGCGTTTTTCACTCCGATGCCATCAAAGCGTTGTTGAGCGAGTGTCGCATCATACACCACACTACCACAGCCTATCACCCGCAAAATGATGGGATGACAGAGGGTTTTAATCGTACACTTGGAGATATGCTGGCCATGTACGCTTCATCCGACCAGTTGAATCGGGATAGTATACTGCCTTTTGTGACATATGCCTACAACACTGCAACGCAAAACACCACTGAATTTTCGCCTTTCTTCCTTCTTTATGGACGCGAGTCATCATCAACAATAAATACCATTCTTCTTTATCGACCGGACCCTTCAGTGTTGACAACCGTTTCTTGAGCAGCAGCACACGCTGAAGAATGTGGGAAGCTTGCTCGTGCGTTCACGTCACATGACCAGACGCGCCAAAAACATCCCCACGACGTGTCAACCACGCCTATGAGCTTTGCTCCGAGTTCACTAGTGTGGCTATGGATTCTTTCCACTCCTCCAGGACTCTCCCACAAGCTTTCGTCCAGGTACCATGGCCCCTATCGAGTTGTATACCAAACATCCTCTGTGAACTACCTTGTCGAGCCGCTGGACGCATCTCCAGAGAAGTGCCTTCGGGGACAAGAAATCGTACAAATCTCTCGGCTCAAGCCATACCATGACCCTTCTGTGTGCACCTGTCCTTAGGTCGCCAGGATGGCTCCCTCATCACCCGGGGGTGATTGTAACAAGGGCAGTGGACATGCTTTTTTTCAATATATATATATATATATATATATATATTGAAAACCCGTTTCAACACACACGCACGCACACACACACACACACACACACACACACACACACACACACACACACACACACACACACACACACACACACACACACACAGTCATGAAAACGTCTGAAATAAAAAACTTCAGACAGCATCTTAATTCCATGCACCCGGCCATACAACACACGGCCGAGTGTGAAAGCTACCGCAGCCTGCCCTTTCTCGACGTCCAGGTGGCAAGAAAGAGCAACGGCTTGGAGTTCTTCGTTCACAGGAAGCCAGAGCACACCGGCCGCCACCTTCAACATGATTCATCTCATCACGCTTGCCACAAGGCTTCGGTTGTGACCATGTTACTCCAGAGAGCCAAGAACATATGCTCCAAAGACATGGAGTGAAAGAAAGAAGAGGCCCACGTAATTGCGGACCTCAGAAAAAATGGATACCCAAAAAACTTCATACGAACTGTCACCCGTCGCCCAGAACTACAGAGGATACAGAAACCCCAATCAGCATTAATTGGCAAGTCCAATACATTTAAGAAACCAGTGAGATGTTGGTGCGGGTCTTCAAAAAAGAAGGGGTTTGCATCGAGCACGCGCCTTCATGTACACTAGGCTGCCTCCTCCCCCTCCCGAAAGACCGGCCAACAATGAACAGGACCCCCAGTGTCGTTCACAAAATACCGTGCGCCGAGTGCCCTTCTTTGTATATCGGCAAGACAAAAAACTTACTGGAACGTTTTAACCAACACGCCAACGAGGTTCGGAAGCTCTGGAGAGAGCGCAGCGTTGTCGCCGAGCATTCTGAGACATTTGACCACTGGATAAGTTTTGATGCAACGACCATCCTTGAAAGTGAGACTAACTGGAATAGAAGGTTACTACTCAAGTCGTGGCATGTACAGCGAACGACCCAAAAAATCAACCGTTCTCTCCGAACCCTTTCCCCGGTGTATGCACACGGACTACGCTTCGCAGCAATACGGAAGAAGGGGGGTCATTATCTGCCCCGCAAGTGCTTTGAAGACGCCGCTGCAACGCAGCCCCAGTCCCCCCTGAGGAAAAAACCAAGTCGGTTCCGAAACGTCTGGTTTACACATTTTCACATATTTTTTGGCTAAGATCATTTCCCAATTTGCATACTCAACCAGACAGAGATCTGTCGAATGTTTACATTCAAATACATACATACATTTTCAGAAGAGTAGTTCTATTTGTATTTGAAAATATTCTGAAATTTTTTCATTTGGTTCACTCTGAGTTTTCATTTATTGGTTTACGGTTGAAAAGTTATTTGTGTAGCCCTGTTTTAAACTTCTATAATCTTAACAATAATTGGCAGTCATGTTTAATATTGCTGTCCATATTCTGTTTAACCAATCAGGTTTGTAATTGGGGCTTATATTTAGAGTATTTTTGTGCATATTTTGTTCCAGGCCAGAACAAATGCCTTGGTCACCCAGAATTCAGATCTCCGCAAGGCATTAGCTGAGAAGGCACAGATGGCTGTTGATGTACAGGAGAAAGATTCTGGCAAGGTCCACGACTTGGTAAGATATTCTATTTTTTCACATTTTAGCTACTGTACAGTAACTCCTTATACATTTCAAACTTTATCTAAAGAAGTGATTGGCACAATCGAATCATTTCGTTAAATTGATAAGTTTTGGTAAAATATAAAAAGGAAACACTGTTGGCAGGCCACTTGGTACATAGCATAAAAAACAGTGTAACAAATGAGACAAAAGAAATTGAAAAAAAAAAAGCACACACACACAGCACTGACTAAAAACTGAGTTTATTATCACTTGAGAAGCAATAAATAGAAAACATGTGTGACGTCACAGAAGCAGTAAAAACAAAATGACCCCACTACCAGGTTTCTCAGCAGCACTCTTGCACTCAGCCCTCGAGAATACAGATTTATTTTTGTGAAAGTACTACAATATCGTAGACAGTGCATCATAATGTACATGTGAAAGGATTATACTTGACAGATTCAAAACATCTTTGGAGGAGGAGATTTGTGGAGCAATAAATTTTGAGGGTGTAGTGTAATATTATAATTACTTAAAAAGGTGTCGTAGGGCCCCTTTAACCCCTAAATACTCAATTTTTAATATGGAAGTGTTTGTGCTGGGGTCCACCACAGCTCTGCTTGCATACTTCCATAATGGAAGTGATGTTGAAAAATGTATACTAAGAGATTGCAAAGAAAAAAACCAGAAGGCAAGCATCTTTCGCATGGAATCGAATCAGCAACCTCATGACTCCTAGCCCGCGGCGCTAACGACTAAGCCACAGAGCGTACGTTGTTTGGAAGGCTAACGGCAAGCCATTTATATACACCATACACTGTTTGACAGTCTTCAGAGCTTCGAAGTTTTAAGGTGTTTTTGTTATCAATGGCGTGCTGGCATGACAAGCGAGATGGCGTGCTGTAAAGGTTGTCTCCTCACGAAACGCCGCCTCCAAGGATCGTGGCATCTCCTGCGCGTGGGTTTATCATATTCATAATTCAGGAGAGAACGAAAGCCACTTCGTGTGCTGCCAGAACCGTGTTTATGAAAGGAGTGCACTGCTGACACACGATATAGGAAGAATTGGGACAGTTGTTTGCGCTTGTCCTGTATATACTGTGCGTTCGTTTCTTCTTTCTTTCTGTTTGAACAGCACCCTTCAAGTGTCGAGCTGTAACAGTTGTTAAACCGTGCTCGTCCTGTGTACTCCAGTTTCGTGCGTGCTTTCTGCTTGAGGTGTGCGCTGTAAGTTTCAAGCTGCTTCCATTCGTAACGTGACTTTGCAATGTGTTGCTGTTGCTGAAACAATGCACAATAAACAATCAACTACCTCTGCAAAGACACGTTTCACTTTTGTGTTATACTGATTCCTATATAGGAGGATCAGCCACAATTTTTTTAAAGTTTCTCGACCAAAAGTGCCTTTTTTTTTTATTTTTAATGTGATTGTACTGAAAAGCAGCTTATCGATATTGAAAAAATATTTGTACCACATACTTAGTCAAATCAACGCTATGTTTACTTTTGAACAATACATAGGAAACCAGCTACTTGCTTCTAATAAAAATAAAATATAGACCCAATCAATAAAACATTTGTACATGCCACATCTTTCTTCACTAATGGAGGCTAAGCCTTCTTGGGCTATTTCACTCGGGAAGCGTCGGAAGTGTGTGGAAAGTTTGAAAACATGGAATAATGCAAAGCAGTTTCACTGGCGAGCACTTGCAATGTTTATTTCTGAGCTGTCTTAGTCATCAACGGAGAATCTGCTCAATTCACAGTCATTACTGTCTTCACTTCCAGACACAAGATAAACATCTGTATCCAAATCATCATCACTTTAAAAGATTACAAAAACTAAATGTTTTTTTTTTTATTGTTGATGGGCCAGCTATGCATGGGTCGCCGCCACCTCATGCCATCTTTTCATACAAAAACTGCGCTCTTGCCGCAGTAGGAAACTGAAAGATCAAGTAAAGGCTGCCAGCTAGCAGATGGCACTCAGTCTAAACAGTAGGCGAGCGCTTCTCGTTCTGAACACTACAGGGGAGTACCTATTCTGCTAGGACGAGCTCTGCTCGTTCAAAGCAGTGTGAGGACTGTTAGGGCAGGACAGGCTCTGCTCGTCCAAAGCACTTATGAGGTCAAGGCACGATGCAATCTTTGAAATACTGCTTTTTTCATTGTGATTATCTTTTTTCTTTTCTTTTTTTTTTTTGCTCTTGCAGCCTGAATTTTTTTATCTGAAGAAAAGAGATTGAGTCTTATTTTGAATTCCTTGTTCATGTTGTGAAAATGTAGGGAAAAGAATGTCGGATCATTTATTTCAATGATGTACATGATGGAAGTATTATAATTTACAAACTTTGTCATGAAAAAGCAATAATGTGTGCCTGGGAAAAATGTTTTTACGAAACAGCTATGTGGTTTTTCTGTTGTTTTACAGGTAGCATCATTATCAGCGTCTGTGCAACAGCTAGAACTTGAACGAGACCAGTTAGTTCATCAGTTGGACGAACAGCGGACACAGAGGGAGGCAGTTCAGCATCAGCTGTTGGAGTTCAAAAAGAACGAAGGTCAGACAGAATTTTTTGTTAATTATGAAATGGTTATCATATTTGCTGTAGCTTTATGGAAATCATAAACAAAAACCCGCTTTTTTTTATCAGTGAGACAAGCTGATTATTATTCATCGCTGTCTCTAAAGAGATTCCGTCACATACTACAAGCAGCTTGTCCTTTTTTTTTTCTTGTTTTTAAGTATTGCACATGCATTATTAAAAACCTTATTCTTTTACAACTTCCATTTTCTCGCTACTTATTGCACAATGTCTACTTAATACAGATAGTAACTGCAGAACTAAACCATGAGAGTGAAATAACTAGAAGAATAAGGATTAAGTGGAGCACATTACAGGGGTAGAAGTGCTGCGCCATTTGGGCCATTCTGCGCCAATCTGATCTGCTGCACTGAGCTGTGCCTAAACGGCAGTTTGCGTGTGCAAAGCCAAATTTAGTTGAGTTTTATCATTGACCGAGCAACCTGGAAGGGCTACACAAAGAACGCAACCGCATTCATATCAAATTAGTTTGGTCAAATCTTATTTCGGCTCGTGCATGAATCTTGTTATGGTGGGGTTTGTGTGTATATTTCATTATACGACTCTATACAGTAGACTCTTGTTAATTCAAACTTGAAGAGACTCTGAATTTTCTTTGAATTATCAAGAAGTATAAATTATCAGAAGTTCTCAGATAGATGACTCCGGGTGACGTGACACCACACATTATGATTAAGCATTGATTTTATCACATTTAGAATTTTTTTTAGCATTTTTAAACCCTAACTGCATGAAATAAACGGAAAGCAGAGGTGTAAGGTCGACAAGTTTAATGGCCATTTACTGCTGATCTGACCTTTTAAAGAAATCGTGAATTGTCAACTGCTTCCTTGCTATAGGTATGTACCTTCAGCACAAAGCTATCTATACCAGTTGACTAGCATCACGATTTACCATGCATGTGCTTTGTTTCAAACATTTGTTTACTAGCAAAGCCTTTTTTCTTAAATGCCTGAGGTGCTTATTTTTCATTTTTAGACTGTTAGGATTGTATAAGCACACACATTTTTAAATAGTAGTGGGAAAGCAGTAGATATTTTCTGGTATTGAACTGTGAAAAGTATGAATTAACTGAATGATAGAGTTTGAATTAAGAGGCTTTTAAATACATTCAAAAAGTTGAGGGCCAACCAAAACATTTAATTTTGTTTGAAATAACCAAAAATATGAATTATCAGAGTTTAACTTATCACGAGTCTACTGTACATGTTTTAACAGCAAAACTGTTAGCTGAACCATATAAACTAAAAATAAAAATAAAAATCATTTTCACTGGTGAAGCGATGACTGCAATAGCAAGAATTAGTAATCTTGTAATGATAATGCCGCAGGCGCTTCTATTTTTGCTACTGCACCATTACTGCCTGGCACGAATCGCGCCCGAATGACTGGGAACAATCTAGATACTGTATTTTTCAGTGTATAAGTCGCGGTTTTTTTCTGAATTTTTCGTCAGTGCGACTTATATACAGTCAAAATTGGGTTTGATGCCGCCGCGGCCGCGGCTTCGGCCGCTTCAGCAGCCTGGATATCGCCGTGCGTCCCCTCTTGCCATGCACAAAAACCGCATTTTACAAGAAAATAAATATAGTGGTAAATTAACTTTGTAGAAATAACACAGCTGATGTAGCTTAGCATAGAAAATGAATAATCAAAGGGGGGTGAAAATGTGCAGGGGTTTTAAAATTTTCAAATGATAAAAGGCGAGTTTGGATTTCCGAGCCGCTTCCTTTGCCGTCACTTCTGTCCGCACTCCCAGCTGCTGCTTTGGTGCGCGCGTCGCATGTGTTGTGCCAGTCGTAGCGTGTAACGTAGGCTCAGCGACCTCGCCAATCTGACAACGGCACCATGGCTCCACATGGAAGGCAAAGTCGGCGAAGTTTCGATGCCAAGTTCAAGCTGTGCGCAGTTGAATTTCTGAAGAACATGGAAATTGTGCTGCAGGGAGGGAATTTGATGTCGCCGAAAAAATGATCCGGGATTGGCGCAAAGCCCACAGTGTCCTCCGGACAATGAAGTCTACAAAGAAGGCCAACCACGGCAAGAAGGCACGCTGGCCGGACTGGCCGGACCTAGAGCGTAGCCTGCGAATGTGGGTGCTGCAACAGAGAGCTGAAGGAAGAGGCCTATCAACAGTGCAGCTGCGCCTGAAGGCGAAGGCTCTGGCAGCAGAGACAAACGCTGTGAGGTTCAATGGTGGTCTGTCGCGTTGCTTCCACTTTATGCGGCGGAATCAGCTTGTGATGAGAGCCCGCACTACAGTGTGTCAGAAGCTTCCTGATGACTTCCAGGCGCAGCTGGAACGCTTCAGCTCATTTGTGCGGGAGGAAGTAGCGAAGAACAACATCAGCACGAGCCACATCGTCAACATGGATGAAGTGCCGTTGACCTTCGACATCCCGCTTGGGAGAAGCATCGCCAAGAAAGGCCAAAAGACTGTCACGGTGAGGACAACAGGCCACGGGAAGTCTCACTTCACCGTTGTGCTCGCCTGCTGCGCAGACGGCACCAAGCTGCCTCCCATGCTTATTTTTAAGAGAAAAACCTTGCGGAAAGGTATTTTCCCTTCTACAGTGGTGGTTCAGGTGAACACAAAGGGTTGGATGGACGAAGAAATGATGGGTGTGTGCTTGACCGCTGTTTTTCACGTCGACCCGACGGATTCTTCCACGTGAAGCCAGGAATGCTGGTGATGAATAGTATGCGGGCACATATCACTGACGTTGTAAAAAAAAAAAAAAGGTCGGTTTGAAGAAATGTATGCCTGCAATTATACCCGGCGGCATGACTAAGATGCTTCAGCCACTCGATATTTCAGTTAATTGCAGCATTAAGGCCGTCTTGCGACGTTTGTGGGAATTATGGATGTCGAAGGGTGAACACAGCTTCACTAAAACGCCGCGCTGAGTTAGGGGAAGTGGCGAAACGGGTGAGCGAAGTATGGAATTCAATATCTGACGAGATCATTGTAGCAGGCTTTCGCAAGGCCGGTTTGATACCCTGCGTGACCAATGTTAAGTCCGAATCGAGCGAGTCGGGGGACGACAGTGACGTGCCGGAGGACGACGTTCCGGAGTACAACCTGAAATAGCTGCGCTATTTGTTAGCGACTTGGAAGAAGAAGACTTCGATGGATTTGATTAAACGCTGCTAGCCATCGCAATAAGGATACTTCAGACTGAAAATATTGTGTTTATGTATGTTGGGAAGAGCTCGCACGCGTGTGTGCAAACAGCTGGAAACTTGCAAGCGCGACGGCCGCTTCTAGCATGAATTTTTGTTGTGCTTTCTCATGACGCGGCACTGGATGGCCGGGTGAGCAGGTGCGACTTGTACACCGGTGCAACTTATATACGTTTTTTTTTTTTTTTTCGGAAAAACTGCCATTTTGAGGGGGGTGCGACTTATACAAGGGTGCAACATATAGACCGGAAAATACGGTCATCTTTGAGCCTTCCAATAAAATTACACGCACAATGCATACATTAGAGTTTGTTCTCGAGCTTACGCAGCTGCTAGTGGTAATGCTGGAATCTTCGATGGCACATGTATAAATGCTATTGAACTTTGCTGCTTGGCAGGTTATCGACGGAAGAGACTGTAGTTCGCTGCTATCAGTCTAACGCTTGTATTGCTTGTAGAGTGATGTTTCGTTTTCTGGGCACTGGTTTGCCCGAATAAAGTTAACTCATGATAACAGCGGCTGCTGCCTTCGTCAACCTCACGACGCCGGGACAATACGATGGCTGCAAGCTAACTCTTTTGAATCCAACATAGCGACTCTCTACAAAGCGCTGGTGTAAGAGAACAAGTACAGCCGCTCCAGGGAGAAATGCTCTTATCGCACAATCTCTTCCTGTTAAGAGCGCACCAGGTAGAATGGTTTACGAGTGGCACGCTGATGCTTGCCAATAGCGCATGCGCCAGCTTATCGCAACCACGTCCTTAGAATCAATCACAGGTCACTGGTGCTGGTTTAAAGACCTGTTCTCCTCTTTTTATTCGCGTATATTTTCATGCTCATCCAAGAAGGCCAGCATCTTTCATCTCTGCTTCAGCATTCGAAGGCAGGTCTAACACGCGGTGGGATGCTATCGCGTGCGCCCTCGGAGCGACGCAGATCGACCAACTTTTTAAATCTCTGCTTGAGCAGTGCTCACCACCTCAGCTTGCACAATTTTACGTGCGGGATGAACGTACGATGCCTGGGAAATGTTACTAACTTGTAGTTCACACGGAAAATGGCAGCGGCGGTGAAAACCCGTTGAGTGTCTATGTAGTTCTTATCGTAAGAAATTAAAAAATTCAGTTAATTGCCTAGCAATGGCACAGCAAACACATGTAAATTTCCTCGTGGTTCTCATGTCGGCTGTGGCACTTCAATGACCGGAACATAAGTTTTTTTTACATTTAATTTTAATAGAGCTCTATGTGTTTAGTATGAACTTTTATTATATTAGTTCATCTCTAGTCTTGAGTTGCTGTTCATGTTGTATGCGATGTTTTAATCACATTTTGAACATTGCAACATTTTAACGTAAAATTTTCTAATTTGTTAGAGCTCTAGTAGCTGTCCAGAGCGCCGCTTATGTTTTTTATTTGAGTGTCTGTGCTTCTAGCTTTGATGTTGTAAGGTTTTATGTATATATATATATATATATATATTCGGGGTAAGTAACTTGATCGGCATTGAATGCTTAGTAAAAACCACTGAAATTATTTGTGTTTATGAGAAAGTAAAAATAAAATGAAAATTCTAATTAACAGTGATGTTTGAAATGAAAAATTTACTCCAAAACTAAATTTTGATGCTCCAAAACAGGCTTTTTGGTGCTCCAGAGCTGCTTCAAAATGCCCCTTTTACTGCTCCAAAGCTGCTTCAAAGCTGCTCCAAAACCGTATTATTCCTGCTCCCAAAGCTGCTCTAAAAGACTGAAACCCGCTTCCACCCCTGACGTTAGGAAAGCATTCAAAATATATGAATGGTAGTAGCGTACCCATGTTCTTCAAGAGGAAGGTATATAACAGCTGCATCTTTCCAGTACTTGCTTACGGAGCAAAAACCTGGAGACTTACAAAGAGGGTTCAACTTAAATTCAGGACGATGCAGCGAACAATGTAAAATAAATTATGCATGTAACATTAAGGAATGACAGGAAGAGAGCAGAGTGGGTCAGGGAACAATCAGCTGTTAAGGAGATCATAGAATGGACATGGGCAGGGCACGTAGCCCATACGCAGGATAACCGCTGGTCATTAAGGGTAACTGACTGGATTCCAGGAGAAGGCGAACACATGAAGGGAAGACACAAAGTTACCTGGGCAGATGAGATTAAGAATAGTGTGGCAGCAGAAAGCACAGGACGGGTCTAATTAGTGGAACATAGGAAAAGCCTTTGCTCTGCAGTGGGCTGATAAAGGTGATCATGATTCAAAAGCATACAACAAATTTAGTTTCCCTAAAAGGCAGCTGCTGTATCTTTTTATTACAGTAAAATCTTGGTAGAATGAACACCACATTAACAAACTTTTCAGATTAACAAACTTTTAAAAAATTCTGTGCTGACTGCTAATAGTTTCAATGTAAAATTATTTCACTACTACGTACTTCAGAATACCGAACTTTTCAGAATAACGAGTGCTAATTTAGTTCCACGTTATACTAAGAATGCCTCAGTACTACGAACTCGTGTTCTGAAATCTGTCGTGACCACCAAAGCAGTACGCAAGCAGACGACACAGCGAATGAATTCGTTGCTTCTCAAAGGACGTGCGACGATGCGGAGGGGGAAAAAAAAATGGAAGAATCACTTTCTTTTCTTTCTTTTTGTTGCAACGCCGACGCTGCAGGTTTACAAGCGCAGAGGCAAGGGGCGAGGGCAGCCTGGGAGGGCAAGGTCAGCCTGGGAGGGCAAGGTCAGCGAGGCAGAGTGGGAGTTGCGGAGCAGGAAGCGTGGGCGCGGGAAACCTGAGACAGCGAGGGAGCCGAAAACGAAACACGAGGAATTTTCTTTTTTAGTTCTTTTTTTTCTTCGGAGGAGGCGATGACAGTCACGATGCTTTGGGTTTTTCTAATCTTTGTCACTTCTAGCTGTCCTCTAGGAGGCCTTGTCAGTCGTGTTCATCTCTTTTTGGTGATTACTTATCGCGTCTGCAAAGCAAGTCGGCGTTTGCACTGTGGTGCTACTACAATGAGTTGATCTCTGCCTGCGACAAAGAAGCGGAAGCAGGTTTCACTAAGCGAGAAAGTGGATATTCTTCGACAACTAGAAGGCAAAAAGCAGGCTGTTGTGGCCAAAGAACTTGGAGTGCACGCGTTTAAAAAAAATTTTAAAAACACAGAATTCTGTAAGTAAACGTGCATTTTTTGTGTTCACTTGTGCATTTGTTTTTTCTCGTGAAAAACGAGTTGAAGGACCCACCGTTGTAAAGGCAAGTCATTTTGGTCGGTGGAAAATAAGTATTTATGGTAAACTGTTGGGCTTTCACTATGACAAACTTTCAAAATAACGAACAAATTGCTGCAGTCCCCTGAAGTTTGTTATACCGAGATTTTACTGTATCTTGTAGCAGTAATATAATAACATCATTTCAATTCAACTTAGCACGTTTGATAATGTTAATATATAAATCGTTGTGTAAATGTTATGCTGCATTTTTCGTTTAATTCAAGTGGGAAGTTTCTGCAGTAGTAGGCAAGGGTTTGGGTTATGCTTAAATGGCCACACAAAGGTTCATCATGGCAGGCGAACAGAATTTCATCACGAAGCTCTACTGGTATGACCAGTAGATAAGTTTTGTTTTCGGCAGCTGTGTTCTTCGTGTACAAGACACCCTGTTGCAAACAAAAGGACGAACATCTTCAAGCTATGTGTGTAGACAGAAATTTGTTGTGGCCCTGTAGGTCCCACTTCAGCATCTGCTTGCTGTTGTGTAGCTAACCCCCATATGCTGTTGTGTAGCTAACCCCACTCGCACCGACTTCAATGAAGCACAAACGTGTTTCGAACGCACTGTCTTTAGGCTGTGTAAAGGCAGCATAAATGCGCAGACATGTTTAAAATGCACTGCAATGACGGCAGTTTCAAGTCAAGTTCAAGTCAAGGAGCATTTCTGAATGCGAGGGTAAGTCTTTCATGCTTACAGCCCGAAAGAAAATGCTGCCATCTTGGAGGCTTTGATAGGTAGGTTTCACATGTGTGTGCGATGCATTCACGTTTTCATGTGTGTGACCTCACTTGTATGCGACGGTGATGTCGTGTTCCTGCAAGTGTAGGCTCCACCATGCTGGTCATTCAAAAGGGTTTCTTATGTTCGCAAGCCAGCACAGTGAGTGGTGATCCATCATGACCTTCGGCCAGTGCCTGTACAACAGCAAGGCACTCTTTCTGCGTGTTAGTGCAGTTGAGACTCCAAGCGTGATAGGGTGCAACTTGCATAAGTGACATCCTTTTCAATGCCATCGTGCTGCTGTATCAGTACTGCACATTTCTGTAGGCTGATGCTATACAGGTGCTTTTATTATGGTTTTGAAAGTCTTTTGAATAAAAAGCTAAGGTGGTTAATACCCTGAGTTTTGTTTACACCTCTGTTGCAGAAAAAAATAGCTTAGAACTGTCTTTGAATTGCAGAAGGTATTATTTCCAAGGTGCTACGGTATAGTATATATCTTGCACCAGGTGATTATGGGTACACTTTACAGAGGAGTTTCTGTCACATGAGCAAGAGGAGATGACACGCGAAGGTTATGCCAAAATGAAGCGAGCCATGCAGCAACTTGAGGACCGCTTCAAGGCTACTATGGAACAGATAGCCGATCTGTCGGATCAGAAGCAGCAGCTGGAGCACTTAGTCACTCAGCTACAAGGGGAGACAGATACAATAGGTGAGTGCATTCTTGGTGTATTCTTGCTACTAATGCCATTCTTGGTGCATTCATGCTACAGAGTCAAGGGAGCTCTATCTCACGATTTTGATTGAGCTGCGAAGCTTATCATTTCTTCTTATCACCTCTTGAAAGTAACATAAAGGTGACAGACAAACACATGATGATTATTTAGCCTTCTGTGAGATTTGTGTGAATGGCCATATCATTTGGTGGCATGTTTCTACAATATGGTGTGGCAGTCTAGCATATGAAGTAAAAATGGGAAGCATAGATGTGATGTCAACTTGTATCTGAGTACTTAGCATTTATCTGAACAAACTAGAGAAGTTTACTAATACAAAGAAAAGTTTTTCTTTGTGTTACTTTAAGCGATGATCATTCAGATAAGCTAAAATTTCAGTGTAGCTTAGTTCTTGAATGTGGCAGTAAGAATGAACTGCACAGATAGAAAAAATACAGTGCACTAATGAGGGGAGGAGTCGGTGCAGCTATTTCCTGGCAAATGCATGTCATTGTAGTGTGAAAACAGTGTCTACAGGGGTCATTTACACTTTTGACTTTAAACTTTTAACAGGGGTCTAAAGTTTAATCAGTTCACACTTTCCTTCCTGCATATGTTTGCCTGTATGTGCATATGTGCACATTGTACGAATGAATTTTTGAATAAGCTTGTTTAGTTGCATGACTGTCTCGGCTTCTTATTATTGTATATCATATTTTATTGCTACGTGTACACACAAAAAAAGAAAAAAAAAATACATAGCTTGGACATTTGCAAACCAAACCTCTTAAACATTGTCCTTACTCTTGGATTTTGTCGTCCATACAAACCTTGTTTTACTGTTCTTTTTTCATTTGAGTTTCATAGGCGCCTTAGCCTAGGATCATGAATTTTAGTACGTAGTTTCATTTTACAAGAACCGAGCGTTGGGCGAGTTGGTATTCCATTGTGAATGGCATTTTTGCAAAAAAAAAAAAACCTGACAAGAAGGAACAGAGCACAGACAGGCGCAACGAATAATTGCAGTTTAGTTTTTAAAAAACACAGATATAAAGGAAAGACAAGGACACATGGTTATAATTAAAGCTTGGCAGTGAGGTAATCTATCTCGAGGTTATGCAGGTTACTGAAGGAGGGAGGCTCCAGGTGCTTTTTCACTACATTTCATGCTTTTTTTCACTGCATGAAAGAAAGTGGGGAGTTGTTTTGGGGTTGATGTAGTATTTTTCAACAAGAACAAGCCAGGTCACATCTGCGCAGCGGTTGAAAGAAAAGTTGAAGGTGGCAAGAAGAAAGATAGAATTAGTGTGATGTTATACACCGGGACAGATTGGTTGGGCATGAAAAGTCTATCATATTCAACTATCATGCGGGGGTGTTACATTAGTCAGACTGGGTGCTGTTTAAATAACTAATTAATGGACCACGGAAATTCTCTGAAAAGGCAGCCTCCGTCTAATCTCTGCGTGCAATGCAAGGAATGTAGATGTCATGCTTTACTAAATGAAACAGAAGTGTTGTCGAGGCTCAAGGATAAGACGATACGAGAGATCATTGAGGCCTTTTTCTTACATAAGTCCGATGACATGTGTGGCGAGGCCATTGGTGGACCTGCGTCAACTTGAGATAGATTATCTAACCGCCAACCTGCAATAATAACCACGTGTCCTTGCCTCTCCTTTATATTTGTGTTTTTCTGAAAATAAACTTCAGTTGTTAGTTGCGCCTTTCTGTGCTCTCTTCTTTCTTGTCCGCATTTTTTTGCACAAAAGCCATCCACAACAGCAGTTATATTTTTTTGAGGCTAAATGATTGCTCTAGTCATTGTAATGTCTTAGGCCTAACCGCACAACAAATAAATAAATGAATAAATGTGTGTGTGTGTGTGTGTGTGCGCGTGTGTGTGCATGTGTGTGCGCGTGTGTGTGCATGTGTGTGTGTGTGTGTGTGTGCATGTGTGCACACGCGCGCGCAAGCGTTCATTAAGGATATGCATACATTAAGGACAAAACAAGTTTTGTGCATAATCAAGCCCCTTATGTGAACCCTTCATGTAATTGGCTTAGTATTCTTTATGTGGCAGGACCAGCTATGATTGAGAGCTTTTTTTACTTTTAAAGTAATTACAGATGTTCTCTCTTTCTCAACCCTTTTGTAGCTGACTACATTGCTTTGTATCAAGTACAAAGAGGTATTATGCGGAAGCGTGCTGCTGAGAAGGACGACTACATTTCACAGCTTGCTAAGGACCGGGAAGATCTAAAGGTTTCTAACTTTCCTTCTTTTTGCACATCTCCATCACTAGGGTAAAATTTATGCAGTTCCCTTTACGTTTTAATGCTTCTCTATGTCTGGATTATCTGTTGAGGTTTTACATTGGTAATAGTCTTTTCATATTTTATTGAAATTAGGAGGGAACTTAGCTTCTAGACATTGTGCAGTTAAGAAAAATGAAACGTTAGTCGCACCTAATATTGGATGAACGAAAAAGGCTTAGCAATCTGTGCAAATTATTCTTTGTTAGTACATCATTTTTTTTTGTTCACTCTGTAGTGTACACATATCCCGAAGGAGTATGGCCACTAGCATGGGTCCAGTCTTAGCGAGCCACAGGGCACACGTTAACCATCGCCGTGGCGAGAACACGATACTGCTCAAGGTCGCAACACTTTATTATTTGTGGCAACACCAAACGCAGTACAGCCTATTGCAAAGGCGCAGCGTGAAAGCAAATGGGCTTATCCACGCCACGGGCGTAAAAGTACTATACACGGTGCCACGAGCACGTCTCTGTGGTAAAGGTGATTCACGGAGACACCGGGACCAAGGCCCGATTGCTTGAGCGAGGGCAAAGGTGCTCGCGTTGGCTTCGAAGGGAGACGGGTTGGCGTAGCTTGGCCACGCACTAGGACACCGTACCACCCTTTGGCCGAGCTTACGCAGAGGGGCAACAAAAGTTGAGCGTTTGCCTCGGGCGCGAGGTGTCGTCAGCGAAGTCCGACGAGCCCTGAGCGACAGGAGTCGACGGACGGAAAAGATTGCATGGCTCACCGTCAGCTGTCTCGGAGAGTATCTGACTTGCTCCCGACGCACGTGCACAAAACCTCTCGGGAGACCCTCCACGCGGCGCCACAGTCGACATCCGCTACCGGGTGAGAGGGGTTAAACGTCACTCCACTCTTCCAGCGCGGCAGACAGCGGAGAAGGGGAGTCATGTCCCAAAATCACCATATGATTGTGAGAGACGCCGTAGTGGAGGGCTCTGGAAATTTCGACCCCCTGGGGTTCTTTAACGTGCAACCAAATCTGGGCACATGGGCCTACAACATTTCCGCCTCCATTGGAAATGCAGCCGTCGCAGTCGGGATTTGATCCCGCGACCTCTTTATCAATGAGAACTAACAGGCTATGATGCCAAGAGAAGTAGAGGGAATGTTATTAGAAGTGATTGTAATGGAAATGTGAAGAAAGAAATGTGTATGAAAAAGATAACTTGCCACTGACAGGGACTGAACCTGGGTCCTTTGAATAATGCGTCCGATGCTCTACCACTGAGCTACAGTGGTGGTCATCCCTCCGCCCACTTTATGAGGTGTATAATGTGCGTTTAAACGTGGGAGCGTCATTCAGGTCCTTCAGTAGCCATATATACCCTATAAAGTGCACAGAGGGAGGACCGCTGCGATAGCTCAGGGATAGAGCATTGAATGCATTATTCGAAGGTTACAGGTTCAGTCTCTGCCAGCGGCAAGTTATCTTTTTGTCCTCTGTTATTTCATTTACATTACAGTTACTTCTAATGACATCTCCTATACTTTTCTTAGCATCATTGTGTGTTAGTTCTCATTAATATTGTCTCTAACAAAGAAAACTAGCCCTTCAATTCCCAATTATTTCCTTCAGTCATAGCAAGGGTCTCGTTCTGGCAAACTTGGTGCTTTCAGATATTATGCGAGAGTCAGCTGCCAGCTCACACTAAGATCATTTGCCATGTGACGCCAACTGCCGAAGTTTCATATTTGCGGGAATGGCTGCTGGCTGCACTGACTGACACTCTTACGTTCAAATGCGTTTAAGACCACACAAAGTTTCTGTCATACTCGTAAAAAGTACTTATGCACCGAAAACTGTTGTATCACATCTTCATAATCATCTGTGCTTATAGTACTGTTGCTGATGGGTTTTTTATCCTCCTTTCTTCTGTTTTTTTTTGCATTCTGTACATTTATTTACAATAAACTCTTGTGTCAGTGTTTTTTTTTCACTACTGCTAGTTCGTAGGTACTGTCAAAATATTTTTGATATTTCACCTTCACCCCTTCATATATTGTAACTTACTTTTCTAGTATGTGCTTACATGTTCATAAGTTGAATTGTATTTTCTCTAATAATTAATATTCGCATATATATATATATATATATATATATATATATATATATATATATATATATATATATATATATATATATATATATATATATATATAAGGGAAAGAAGTGTATACTTAAGGGCTCGTTTTTCCGTGTTTTGACACAATATTAATGAGATCTAACAGACAGTAATGCCAAGGAATGTATAGGGCAAGTTATTAGAACCAATGGAATGTAAATAAGAAGAAAGAAAAGTGGGTGAAAAAATTACCAGCCATGAGCAGGAATCGAACCTACGACCTTTGAATAACGCGTTCAATGCTCTGAGCATCGAACGCGTTATTCGATTCCTGCTCACGGCTGGTTATTTTTTCACGCACTTTTCTTTCTTCTTATTTCCATTCTATTGATTCTAATAACTTCCCTTATACATTCCTTGGCATTACTGTCTGTTAGATCTCATATATATATATATATATATATATTATCTGTACCACCCCTCTTACACAATGCCCCTCGAGGGCTCTGTAAGGTACTGTTAATAAATACATAAAAATTTATAAAATTAAATATACAGTCGATCCCAGATATAGCAAACTCGAATATATCAAATTATTGGCTATATTGAACTGTTGAAAAATCCCCCTGAATTTCCCGTGCAAAAGTATGGCACTGGTGCACATGCATATCCACGCGTGCCTTTCGTTGTCGAGCTCACCATTTCGCCATTCATGACAGCCTCCTGCACCGACGTAATTATGACGCCGATGGCCAGCAGTGGTTACTCGTGGTACCCTGCAGTCTGCGGTCAGAGATATGTGAATCCTTCCATTCTGATCTGCAATGTGCGCACTCTGGGGTATTCAAAACCTACCATCGCATTCGACAACGCTACGCTACTTCTGGTGCGGGATGTGCCACTACGTGCAGCAGTTTGTTCGCTCCTGCCTCGCTTGCCAACGCTGCAAACCGTCAGCACTCATGTCACGAGCCGGTCTGCAACCGTTACCTTGCCCTGACCGTCCGTTTGGGCGCATAGGTATCGATTTGTATGGACCACTTCCTTTGACGTCCGCTGGCAATCGCTGGGCCATCGTCGCTGTAGATCATTTAACGCGATACGCCAAAACTGCCGCTCTCCCTGCAGCTACTGCGCATGATGTTGCGTCCTTCCTACTACATCGATTCATACTGCGCCACGGTTCACCCCAGGATCTTCTCAATGATCGACGCCGTGTCTTCTTGTCAGAAGTCGTCGACGGCATTCTCACTGAGTGCCATTCTGTCCACCACCAAACTACTGCTTACCACCCGCAGACGAATGGTCTCACTGAACGCTTTAACCGCACCCTCGGTGACATGCTTTCGATGTACGTCGCCGCCAACCACTCGAACTTGGATACTATACTGCCCTTCGTCACCTACGCCTACAACACCATCCCTGAGAGCACGACCGATTTTTCACCTTTCTTGCTGTACGGAAGGCACCCGTCACACACCATCGACACGATACTCCCGTACACGCTGGATCCATCTGAGTGTACACCTATTTCTGAGACAGCCAGGCTTGCTGAAGAGTGTCGCGAGCTTGCCAAGACTTTTACGATGCATGAGCAAGAGCGGCAAAAAAGTATTCGTGATGGCTCTGCCACTTCTGAGCCCATGTTCCTTCCTGGTTCCCTTGTATGGCTCTCAATCTCGACCTCTGTAGCTGGCCTTTCTTCCAAACTACTCCTGAAATATGAAGGTCCTTACCATGTGATCGAGCGCACATCTCCAGTCAACTATCTTATCGAATCGAACCAATTGAACAATCTTCGGACATGCGCCATCGCGAGCGCGACATAGTCAACGTGGAGCACTTGAAGGCTTACTATGACCCGCTCATAGTGACAAGCTGTTAGGTCGCCAGGCGGCTCCCTCTTCGACACCGAGGTAATTGTAGAGAAGCCTCCGAACACTGAAATGAATCGAACTCTCAAGTGCTTTCTAGTGGGTCTACCCATAAAGGACGCCGCCCGCGCTGTGAGTCCGTGCTTGGCCGTTACTGTCGCCATTGTGTATGCTCGCTGTGTGCCAGCTAATAAATGCCATAATATATATATATATATATATATATATATATATATATATATTATCTGTATCACCCCCTTTACACATTGTCCTTCAAGGGCTCTGTAAGGTACTGTTAATAAATACATAAAACATTATAAAATTATATATACAGTCGATTCCAGATATAGCAAACTCGAATATATCAAATTATTGGCTATACCAAACTGTTGAAAAATCCCCTTGAACTCCCCGTGCAAAAGTATAGCACTGGTGCACATGTATATCGAACTCCCGCACAGCAGAACATCCGCTATATCGAATGCTGAGCTGCGGCCAAAGCCCAGAAATTGCATTTTTTCTAATGAATAGTGATTTCTCAGCCGCATTCTAACAAGTTCTGATCTCTTTTCGCTCACAGGTAATAAAAAGGCAGGGTAGAAAAGTGAAAAGGCGAAACTCCATTGCATTGATCTAGTTCGTTACGCAGCATTTGCGAGTGTACCGATATGCTTTGATGCATGATCTGCAGGTTTTAATGCACGGGCATGGTGTTCTTCTAAAAGTCCTATTGCTGAGGGCACCAAAACGAAGTGATTCGGCGATCTCATTGCCATGTTCGCATTCGCTCGTGCACAAGGCATGCGAACGGAAAAGCATGGCCTTCAAAATGTGCAACCTTGTCACGCATTTTTGTTTTTGTTTTTAATTTTTAAAGCACCTATCTTGGAGGCTACACTTCCTTTCTAGTTTTTCGCACCAAAGCAGCGCCTGCCTACTACAAAACAACAGAGCCACAAGTGAAATAGTTTTTACCAACATGTCGATGGTGAAAGCTTGCTCATTTATGGGCAGTGTAGTCTTTTGTGGCTAATAGACTTGTGTACTTCTCACCTTGTACCTGGTAAATCAGCATTTGAGAGTTGGAAATAAACATTGATCTGCTCTTAGCTACAAAAATTATCACTGGTGCTAGGAGCGACATCAAGTAAAACACCATCGTAAACTGTTTCCTTGCGGGCTTTGGGGCCTGGTGATGACTTTGGGTGCGTCATGAATCCTGACCACGGCATTCGGTGCCTCAGTGAATTCTGCGACTTGTTAGCGTTTCCGTGCACCATCTCTTACAGCAAGTGGCTTCATTGGAGTAGATGATAATGTCGCTGTTTTTGAATGCATTCATGCCGAGATCATGGCCAACGTTGTCGGTGCTGCGGAAGTGTGTTGCTTTCGCCACTACCCAACCTTCTAACACTACGGAGCTTACCTTGGTGCTCAGCATCAATCAACACTGTTGGGGCCGAATGAGCTGGATTTTCTTTGTAGGAAAGTTTCAGTGATATTGAGGATTTTGACTGTGCGCGAGAAGTGATACAGGTTTAGAACTATTTTCAAGCCAAATAAAGTGCATTAACTTGCAAATAAAAATGTTCACACCTTGTTCTTTATCATACTGTGAAGCAAACCATTATGTTAGCGCTTGTTGCGATTTTAGAAAACTGTTTAGAGGACTGAGAAGCTCTAACTTACACCTTAATTATGCATAATTTATATTTAGAATTTTCAATATATCAAACTATTTCGGGATCCCCTTCGAGTTCGATATATGCTGGATCGACTGTGTACGCTATGGAGTGGAGGGCTGAAGACCGCCTCCGTAGCTCAGTGGTAGAGCATTGGATGTGTTATTCGAAGGCCACAGGTTCAGATCCTGCTGGTGGCAGGTTATTTTTTCATCCACTTTTCTTTTTTCACATTTGCATACAGTTGCTTCTAATAAGATCCCCTATACTTCTCTTGGCATCATTGTCTGTTACTTCTCATTAATATTTACACTTCTTTCTTTATCTCTTTATCGTAACTTATGCTTTACCAGCCACTTTGCCCCTGTGGGTGCCCTGCCTGAGTGGTTAAAAGGTCCGTGCAATGTTTTTTAAAAACTATATTAGAATTTAGGTTGCTGTATAATCAAATTATTTATCATAAATTAAATGCAACCAAATGAACCCAACCGAAAATCAGGCCAAGGAAAGCCTTTATTTATTGTTTTCGACTGTAGTGTAGTAATCATGGCATAAATTGAAATGAAATTAAGTGGATGAAAAATCACCCCTTCAGTTGATGGGATCCGAACCCACAACCATCAAATTGCTTGTTCACTGCACTACTTATACAGCTATAACAGAAATCACTGGTTATATCTGACAAAAAAACGAGCCCCTCGGAAATAATCTCCTTCTTTTATATTCCATAGATTATGCGACAAAGGCAGCTATAGGCCCCTCTTTTTTTTGCACCGCATTTTCTTGTCAACTTATCGCTGATGACAGTAACGCCTTGCACAGCCACTGATAAGGCTTAGTAGTTGTGTTCTGTGCTGCCAATAGTCACAACTATCTGCTCATGTATTCTTCTGTAGCAGGTCAATGAGCTCTAAATAATAAGTGAATGGACAAATGAAAGTATGTGTGGAAGTGACCAATTAGCATAAATACAGGAGTTATGATAACTTCATGTATGGTATCTTCTGTTTAAGTTTTTGTACCAGGCATGTTTGTGACTAAGTTTTTGTGAAGCATTTGCTTATTTGAGTTTACAAATTTCGCAGTGAGGGTGTATCTGCTCAGTGTACCCCCACTAAGAAATAAACAGATGTTTTTTTTTGGTTGGAGTCAAGCTTGAGATTATTTTGGGTCAATAATTGAAAGAGTAAAAGGTCAGCATTGTTCAATGTCTCGTAAGTATGACAGTATTCAGCAGTTTGATGTGTTTAAAGTCTTAGCCTCAGTTACAAGGTTGTCACTGTGGTTCTTGCATTAATCCTAGGCCAAGTTGGCTGAATTACAGTGCCTCATTGTGCGCTTGTTGGAAGAGCGCCAACAGCAATCGGGTGAGCCCCTTCTGCCTCTTCCAGGGAAAGCCCTCACAGTGTCATCATTGTCTGGTGAGCGTGCATTCCTTATGTATTTGTTATGTTGTTGAAAAAGGCCTTGATAAATATTTTGGAAACAATTAAATTTGAATATTAAGAAGTACCATACTTTCATTGTGAAATCGGAACATCACAAATGATTTGATGCCATTTCCCGATCAAGAGTGAGATTTATGTGCTTGTTACGAAAAAATTGAAACAGGCATCTAGTCCAAACCCATAGCTGTATGTGCACATTTTCTTACTGTACATTCCTGGGTTTGCAAGGCCAGCAGTCTTGTAAGAGCTTGTAAAATGGCAGCATATTACAGAGATGGTCACTACAGTTTATGCACCCAAGGAGAGAGAGCTGCATTACTCTCTTGAAACATTCCACCTCTTGCATTAAGTGTTTTGCATTAAGTGTTAATGCAAAACTCTTGCATTAAGTGTTTTGTTGGTGAGATATGGTTACAGATGCGATTACAGTAGACTCCAGTTAAAAAAACTTGAAGGGACCATGGTCATCTCATCAGGAGTTCGTCTTATCAGAAGTGCACCCAAAAAAATAAATGCTAACATGACAAGTGCATCCAGATATGTTGCTTCAAAACACTGCATGGAGTATACTTACAATGTGCAAGAATGGAACAATAAAAAGCATTTATTTGGCTCAGCTTGATGAAAACTATGCTTTAAGTAGTGTGTTTACATGATTATCGTGAGCAATTGATTTTGCGAGCTCATAGTAAATATGCTCATGAATAAATTGCTATCACATCTTAACAGTAAAACTAGTGCGACCCTATTTCGTGATCAGAAAAAAAAGTGGGAGAGAGAAGCCCAATTTTCCTTCAAAGAAGGCCAAAAGTTTTTCTTCTGGCTGTTCATCTTCCGTGAGCCTGTTTTACTGGCTTTGATATCACTTAAGGATATGCTTCTATTGCATGGTCTTACCTTGAAAAAGCCAATATACGCCGAGTTGCTTGAGAAAGTCTCCGACATTTTTTTTTTTCGAAGTTTGGATATTTTCTTGCTTTCAGCTCACAGTAACTTTTCCTGATTGACGTGCAGCTGAAGATCTCTATTTGGGCTACTCACGGTCACAAGCTTTGGGCACACAAAATAGACATGATGCAGCTATATTTAGTGCGAAATCAACTTGATTTGTCGTGCACTTTTATAATAAAAATGAAGCATCACAATTTGCACTTCAATTGGAACAGATACAGTGCGCACAGGTTCTATGCAAAACAACGTGAACTGACCACATGTGCTTGGGCACCATTGTGCGACAACGATGACAAAGCATCTGGCCCCTCTAAAGGGAGTGCTAGTGCTTCTAACGTAGTTTCAGTTTCGTATGAGATTATAATGCACAGACAATTTTTGTTCCCATTTTCCCATTCATTTGGTTTTTTCTTTGTCCCCTATTCTTTGCATTTGCCTCTTTAGCCAAACTCTTGTGTTTTTCTGTTCTCCATTGTACTCCTGTTGGTGAACTGAGGAAAACAGGGAGAATAAAATAACACAATGGCTTAAGGGTCCCTGTAGTTAGGCCTGTTAGGCAGTTTACGTTAAGGGGACTGCAGACACTCCTGAGAGCTTTTTGTTGCTCTCTTTTCTGATAAAGCCTGCCCTTTCTCTACTTACAGGCTAGGGGTAAGGGAGATTTCAGCTTTATGTGCTAACGTTTCTTTTCCACTTTCTCCTTCCACGTCGCAATTTGCTTTGAGTTTTCGTGACAGAAAATTTATCTTTTTCCCTATTTCGCTTGCTCTTGTTCACCTGAATGCTCTATCAAGTCTACAATGTTTGTTGCACAGAATTGCCATTCTCGTCAGTCGCTGTAAGAGTTCATTATAACAGAAGAAGCCTGTTACCATGTTGTCTTAAGCAGATTTTTTTTTGTATTGAGTTTATAGGAAAGCAAACAAACATACATCTGTTGTTTATCTTAAGCAAGAATTTGTCTTAATGGGAATTTACTGTGTTTTATAAAACTAAATGGGATATCAGAATCTGGTTGCCTTTTGCTTAAATTTAAATGCTTAATCCTTATTTCAGAAACAGTTGACAAGCAATGGCAGACACGATCTGTATTCATCTGTTGCTGATTCGTTAGTATATACAGCTCTCTTGTAATTTTAATTATATTTTTAATTGTATTTTAAAGGCTAATAATCAGAATGCCATGACATCATTACCACGTACTAATAAGCAATTGAATGATATGCAATAAATGAAAATCTGGAGGCTATTGACAGTATAATGCTTATACTATAAGGGTATCAAAATTTTCTGGATAAAGTTTTTTAAACTTTCTTAATATTTTATGTTTTATTCACACTATTCTGAACCTGCACTGCAAATTACACCAGCGCCATAATTTGTGTCGGTACTGAGCCTAGTTCTCAGCCACTTTTCTTGGTATATGTGCGAGCCAAATTGAAACTGTGCATTTTTAAACTTTTTAATACTCTGTTTTTCCAACAGACCAATTTAGAATTCTTTTAAGACTAAAAAACATTGTAGTCAAGTCAAATGCTGCATGTTCTTAGAAGTTCTAAGCACATATTACATATTAGATTACATATTCCTGGACCTTCAAAACTTAACTGTGATTATCTTGACGGAATCAATATCTTAAATATCACCATACATGCATGGGAATGGTGGTTGTTTTATATGGGGTTTTATTATTCATTCATTTAGAAAATTAAACCAGCCAGCAAATGCTGAAAACCGGTGTAAAATGCATACATCTTTGGAATAAATGCGTTTCATCAGCAAAGGAAGCTGGGGAAAAAATTGGTAGGTTTTTTTAAAATAAAGGCCCTGCTGCCAGAACTACATGGGCTATTTGGAGGTTATTAGCCATGTCATACGTACAGTACAAATGAGTCTGTAGGCCCCAAAAGTGTTTAAACCTTTCACTGCAAAGTATTTACATATTGTACATTTTTTTACACTTTGCATTATCAGTGACATTGATCACAGGCATTTGAGCAGGCATAACAACTTTTTTTTAGGTGATTTCAAAGGTTAGCATTCATAACAGACATGTGCACACCAGTGTCAGTTAGAGCCATAATTGGCACACCATCTACATCAGCATTATGGAAGTTTCGATGTACGGACAGGGTGAATATGCTACCTGCTTGCATACAAACACATGCATGAGCATACATAAAGGGGGCCCCAAATTCTTTCCAATAGCCTAGAATTGTCCATAGCTTTATCAAATTGGCTTTCGCTAGCAGCTGTGTTGCAGGCCAAAATATGTGTCTGTAACTTGAACAGCCTTCCAGGCCAGGGCATTTTTCGTTGGGTCCAGTGATAGGTTTTTCTAAGTGTTGCCAAATGAAATAAGATTATGTGGCTCCATGCCTGTTGCCGGCATTAAACCAATCCGAAAGAACATGGCAGTGGCTGTCAGGAAGGCATTTCCCAGCGCATTATCCTTACACAGATTTAATAGCCTCTATCCCACTTCATACCACATCTGGTAGCTGTTGTGCTTTTGGGTTCTTTTATAAATTTATAACTTTTATAAATTTGTGTAATATCTAGTGGTGTGCAAACATTCGAAATTTCAAACAACTTTCTAATAGTGTTTACTATTTGATTTGATTCACCCTAGAATTTTATTATTCTAAACTATTTGAACTTCCCAAAGACGAATACAGTAAATGCCCAATTAAAAATGACCCCTTCAGAATGTTAGCATGTTTCACCTCATAACACTCTTGTATTGCTGAAAAGCTATGTTTCAGTCTCCGTTACGGTTGTAAATGTATTGACTTAATAAAACACTGCTTCCGACATGGAGACGATAGATGTGACAGGGTGGGGGGACGCTCAATGCTGTTTTGGACCTAAAATTAGCGCAGGAAGTCTGAAAAACCTGCTGCCAAAGATTTCTGTCATCCAAATTTTCAGATGTTTTTGGTACATATTCACTTCTACAAGGCATATGTTTGGAACTCCATGCTTAAGGGAGCACAGCCTTGTTCTTCAAATCAGTTGGGCTTCCACAGAAGTTGAAAAAGGAAGAGAGGCTCAGAAAATAGCATCTTTGACTTTCACATGTAAAGTGCTGTTGGCAACACTTTAATTGCACCAAATCATGTACATTAATACAATTGGTCTCTGTACTACCTCATTCCTGATATGACAACTTTGAAACACCATACCGCCGGGGTTTCATGAACCTAGCTTTCGAAAAGAAACACTTTCATGTTGCTATCTCATAGGAATATAAGATAGCAGCGTCCCTAGGAAGCCTCTCCTACTTTTTTTTTCTTCAATTTCAACTTCACTTAGAAGTGCTCAAAAAATATTCTAGAAATATTTGAGAAATATTAGAAATATATTCTATGTGATTCGCACTCGCACCACAATGTTCGAGCTCACTTAGCACTCAGAATTTTGCTATTCGCATAGCTGTAGTACTATCGACTGATGTTTACAATGCACAATTTATATGTAGAATAGAAGTTCAAGTGGTAGAGCTAATTTATACTTTGCTAACATTTACAGATGCTCTTCAAAATGGACCAAACGCTGGAGATACTGGGAGCAAATCATTAAATGGCTCCTCAGATGAGAAGCAGGAAGATGTCACTGCACAAAAAATTATGCATCTCTTAACTGAGATTGAAAGCTCAAGTGCTGTTGAAGGCTCACCTGTTCCGGACACGTTCCATCCATGCCCTGTGTGCTCAGGACGTTTGTTGACTGTCTAAGAGCAAACTGAGGCAGGTTTGCATTTTGTAAAGTACTTTTGAATATTTTGATTTTTGTACCATCAACATAAAAAACATTGTTGAACAAAAATGCATTTTTGCTGGTTTGGCAAGTTTTCTTCTGGAATCAGCATAAGGACGCTCACAATTTATGAATAATGCGGTTAAATCTACCAGTCGCTTTAAATTAAAACTAAAATTAATAATGCATAACATTCATTTGTCACTTGAGCAAATGAAAAGTCTTTGGAAACCCATAAATATAAAACTCTATAAAATATGATTTTCATGAAGAGAGTTATAGTTATGTTACATGGTGCTGGACAAACCTGGGGAAAGAAGCTACAAAGAGCTTACCGGTATTAGCTGCTACTGTGCTTACACCAGCCTACAAATTTTTGTATCTTAAGAGCATTTTAATTTTCTGTGTCATACATTATTTTGAGGAAACCCATACTTTATTAATCTATAAGCAATGATATGTTTTCATTCTTATCATGGGGACTTGTTTCTGTGATGATGATAGTTTGTGCAGCTGAACATTTGTGTTGGTGCATATTTGTTTAGTCACGACCACTGGTGAAAGAAGCCGACTCAGGTTTTCATTGTCAGCAATAATTCTTTGCAATGTTCTTCAGAACTGCTATTCCCTGTCTCACACACTCCAGAATTATTTAATTGATTGTCGCAATTTGATGTTCACAGTTTTTTTAGAACGTCAATTTGCTGGTGGCTAGGTTACCCCTATTAGTTGTCAATGGAAATTGCAGAACTTCCTTTGCTCAAAACTCTATTAAACTTTCTTACACAGAGATTATAGGACACTGAGTGCACCTTCCTTGAGATAAAAATAAAAGAGTTCAGTTAACAGGGGCCTGTACGACAGGGATATAAATGATACCACGGCTATGTAGCGACACAAAGCGGCGCTTCTGTGTGCGGGGCAGAGAGCGCATGCGCCTGCACGAGAAAGTTATCTTCGAGATGAAAGGTGATAATAAAAGTCAGATGTTGTTTGGGACGAGAATGTTCACTTGCCCAGCTCTGCCGAGCGCCGCGTCTCAACATTGGTGACCCGGAATACAGACACAGCGAACGGAGTGTCGAACCAGCCGCAGTATGGATTCAACGTCCACGACCGACGCCCCTCCGACAGTCTTCTCAGTCGACAGTAAGCTGCCCTCTCTTTGGACTGCAGACCCCACACTTTGGTTCATACTAGTGGAATCTCAGTTTGCAGCCAGACGAATCACCGCAGACCTTAGGAAATACCACTACGTAGTCAGCAGTCTGCCGCCCGTCATATCCAGGGAAATCAGGTATCTGTTGCTCGCACCACCTGTCGAAAACGCATATGCAACGCTGAAAGAAACCCTTGTTCGCTGAGTTACGCTCTTCGAATCACAATGACTGCAGCAGTGCTTCGCGGTACGAAACTCGGCGACCGTACTCCTAGTCAGCTTATGCGGCACATGCAACAGTTGCTCGGTGAGACATCAACCACGACAGATGAAGCATTGCTCCGAGAACTTTTTTTGCAAAAGTTGCCTTCAGGCCTCTGCATGATAGTCGCGGCCTCAGAGCACAAGGATTTAACCGCAGCCGCCAAACTTTCTGACAAACTGGTAGCAACGACCTCGCCCACACCCATGGCTGCCGTGCAAGCGCAACAGCCTTTAATTGAACTTCAAAACATGCCTGAGGAGATTTCTCGACTTGCCGAAGCAGTATCAGCTTTGCACGCAAGCAGGAGGGCGCAAACGATAACCGAGCCTAACACGCCACTATCGCAAAAGCTGCTGGTACCATCGGACGTTCGGAAGTAATGCGTGTACATGTGTCCCACTGTGCGCGCACTCGAGAAACAGCCGCGGCAGGCACTGAGGGCGATGAGTGCTAATACGTTGCCTCCAAGTCGTCCCTGGGTATTCTTTATTACCGACTGCTACAACGGAATACGTTTCTTAGTTGACACAGGCGCCGAAGTGAGCGTTATACCGGTGTCACAAGCTGAAAGAAAGAAACCTAGTGCATCGCCCTTGCAAGCTGTCAATAACACGGTGATAACAGCATATGGCCATCGTTCACTTTCGCTGAACCTCGGTTTCGGCAGAACGTTTAGCTGGGTGTTCATAGCTGCTGATGTCAAATTTGCCATACTAGGCACAGACTTTCTCCAGTTCTGCAGTCGACGTCCTCAACAAACAGCTTCAATATCCTGTTTCTTGGGAAGCGGTACAAGGCACGCCGTGTTGGCACCGTTCTATGAGCACGGCCTTGCTTAGTCCGAGTGGAGAAGCGTACTTCACCGCAATACTACAAGAGTTCTCAGAGTTGACGCGGCAGCCACAGGCATTTCCAGAAGTAAAGAACGGCGTTCTGCATCACATCGAAACCACAGGCCCACCGGTCTATGCGCGACCACGGCGCCTGTCACCTGAGAAGCTGCGATTGGCTGGACAGGCATTTGTCCACATGATGGAACTCAGGATAGTACGTCCTTCATCCAGCCCATATGTGTCACCTCTTCACATAGTCCCAAAATCGACAGACGGTGATTGGCGCCCTTGCGGGAACTATCGAGCGCTGAACTGGGTAACCGTGCCAGACCGCTACCCAGTCCCGCACATTCATGGCATGACCTCCTTCCTCCATGGTGCTACCATTTTCTCTAAAATATATCTTGTGCAGACAATCATCAGATACCAGTAGCACCGGAGGATATTCCCAAGACCGCAGTAACAATGCCGTTCGCAATGTTTGAGTTTCTATGCATGCCTTTCGGCTTACGCAACGACGACCACTTTTCAACGGTTTATGGATGGCGTTGTTCGTGGCCTCGACTTTTGTAAGGTATACCTCGATGGTCTTCTGATTGCTAGCAGCACTCCTAAAGAGCACGATAGGCATCTGCGTTCCGTACTTCAGGGACCGACAGAGAACGGTATCGTTATCAATATGGCAAAGTGCGCGCTTGGGGTACCGACACTATCATTCTTGGGCCACAGCATTTCAAGTGCCGGAGTACAGCCCCAGAAGGACAAGGTGAAAGCAGTACGGCAGTTTCCACAGCCGAAAAACCTCCGCTAGCTTCGAGAGTTCCTGGGACTCGTGAGTTTCTACCGTAGGTTTATCCTGAGATGCGCCAACATTCTTCACCCTCCCCACAGCCTACTTGCGGCATCTGGATCTAAAGCAACTGCCATTCAGTGGAACGACCAATCCACACAAGCATTCCGGATGATTAAGGAAGCTCTCGCAAATGCTACCATGCTCACGTACCCGCAGCCGGGTTTTCCTCAATGCGTCATGATGGACGCCTCCGACGCAGCGATTGGAGCCGTGTTGCAGCAAAGGGTGAGCTGAGTGTGGCAACCAATATCCTTTCTCTCCAGAAAACTGAGCTCGTCCGAACGAAGGTACAGTACCTTTGGTAGGGAAATCCTGGCCATATACGCGGCTATCCGGCATTTCCTACATTATGTGGAAGGACAAGAATTTTTTGTGCTTACGGATCACAAGCCACTCACCTACGCATTGTGGCCGAACTCCGATTTGGGTGCGCACGTGGCATGGGAGCACCGCCAAATGTCATACATCGCCAAATTCATGACAGATATATGCCATGTTAGTGGCATGGATAATGCTGCTGCCGACGCTCTTTCGCGCGGTCCAGTGAATGCCATCAACCTGCCGAGCGGCGTGGACTTCCCACACTTACGACGGCTCAACGCAGTGATAGAGAATTGTAGCGCTTGCTGACGTCTTCAACCAGCGCCTTGAAGTTGCAATGGTTGGCAGAACCCACAGGATTCGTATGCTGCGACATGTCTACAGGCAGGGCCCCGCGAGGCAAGGAAAGCAAGGAGGACAACTCGTGACCGTTCGTCCCCTCGAACCTTCGTCGCAGCATTTTTTACTTGCTGCACAGCCTGGCGCACTCCGGGATTCGAGCCATGTAACAGCTATGCACAGCGAAATTTGTGTGGCCAGGAATAAACCGAGATGTCCGACACTGGATACAAGAGTGCCTCACATGCCAGCGCTCCAAAGTTCAGCGACGTACTGTGACCCCCTTGGGATCCTTCCCTCTGCCGGACTGTCGATTTGCTCATGTGCATGTTGACATTGTGGGACCACTGCCGTTGTGTCAGGGGCAAAGCTACTTGCTAACCTGCATCGATCGCTTCACGTGATGGCTGGAGGTTTTGCCCATTCCAGACATGACTGCTGATACCGTCGCCCGCGCATTAATCTTCCACTGGGTGGCCCGCTTTGGAGTGCCGGCAACCGTGACTACGGATCGCGGAACACAGTTTGAGTCCGCCCTATTCGCAAGTGTCACCCGGCTCTTGGGTACTTCCCGCATCAGAACAACGGCCTATCATCCGATAAGCAACGGTATAGTGGAAAGGTTCCATTGCCATCTGAAGACGAGCCTGATGGCTACTGCAAGTCACAGTTGGGTGGAAGCACTGTCGTTTATTCTTTTGGGCGTTAGGACAGCTCTGAAAGCAGATATTGGATGCTGCTCTGCTGAACTGGTGTACGGAACAACGCTTCGCCTCCCAGGGGAGTTTTTCGGCGCCAGTAAGGACGAGAACGTGTGCGGAAATGCGGACTATGCCGTGCGACTGCGAGACATCATGAGCAAGCTACGCGCTGTTCCTCCGCGTCCGCCCTCAGCTCAGCCAGTCTATGGGGATCGGGAACTCTCCTCCTGCTCTCACGTGTTTGTGAGGCACGAGGCCGTACAGCATCCACTCCGGCCCCCGTACGACGGGCCTTTCAAGGTGCTGTGACGGGCAGACAAGCACATTACAATCGACAGAGGTGGTCATCACGACGTGGTTTCTCTAGACCACGTAAAACCAGCACACGTGGACTCCGACAGCGAAGCACCTGCACCACGTCGAGCTCCATCTTCGTAGGCACCCCCGGCAGACCAAGTAGCACAGCCCCAACAAGTCCTCAAACGGTTCACGCGAAGTGGACGGTGTACAAAACCCCCG